CTTAATCTGTAGTTTTTTTATTATTATTTTGTTTTTAATAAAATCTTTTTTTTTTGTTTAAATCCGTTTAAAGAATAACAAAAAAAGTTAAAATAAAAAACAAACTAGCGTTCTAAAATACGAAGCCTACTTCACTATTTAAAGTTAAATCACAATATAAAATAAATTTTAGTCTACGAAGCCACCACGTCTAATATCTTCTTTTACACTTTGGCACATCAACATGTTAACAACCACATACAGTTTGGTAAAACATGTTTTAGTAACTGTTTCATTATACATAAAGAAATAAAACATTTCAGAACTCTACGTATAAACTTAAATTATATTCCCGTAGCGTTTGAGAAATTTATCTTCATTTATCAAGTAAGGTTAGAGCATGGTTTAAAGATAAAATATTAGTTTAAAGATAAAATAATAGTTTCAAAACTGTTTGTACTTCTTTACTTTCATTTGTGTATAGAAGTAACTGGTTCTTCCTCAGGCACTTTTTTAAACTATGAAAAACATCAATGTCTTCTGCTGCAGCAATAAGTTGCTCTATTTATTCACATGTCTAGCTGGTATCAGACTGAAGCTTTCCTTACATATAGTTAAAGGGTATAAAAAAGTGACGACAAAAATAATCATATACTTCCAAACTTTTAAAAGTAGCAGGCTTTATTTTTGCAGATTTTTACAGATAAACACCATTTCTTTTTATTTATAGCTTTGTTGCAATGAGATATTCGCTTTGGAAAAGAGTTTATGTGAACATAAATGAACAAAAAGAACAAAAACATCAACGTTTTGAGACATTGTCAGTCTTAGAACTACGTGCTTTAACTTTTTTCATTTGAACTTCTTCTTCAATAAAATTGTTCTGCATTTCTTTATATGTAATGCTATTAAAAGTTTTTAAAATAGCAACTTTGTTTCATGTGAATTTTCATAGAAGCATTGTGTTCAACAGTCTCAAGTTTTTTTCACCTGCCTTAAAGTTTTTTTTACTTTTCTTGAACACCATGTAAATGTTTCCTTCAGCTTTACTACCTTAGCAGTATTTCGATTACAAGAGTTAGGATTTTTGATGCGTTTTCTAGTAACTAGTCTGGAAACGCGGGCCGTTTTCTATAGATTTCTTGAAATAACTTTAACTTTATGGGGTGAACGGACTGAGAGTGCATCAAATAATTTTAAAATGACATTTTATGGCGCAGACTTTTAATATTTGAATCAATTTGATGCTGTTTTACCTGCTATTTAATTACTATATGTTCGAGACAGACCTCAACTTTAATTCAAACATTAGCTTACCTAATTTAATTTATCCTAACCAAAGTGAAGAAAGTACATTTATTTGTTTTTTTTGCAAGAAACAATGTATATCACAAGATGACTCGTCACTTCAAAGACAAAGACAAGATTACTAATAAACAATTTAGTAAAGAATAAAAGAAAGCGAAGATTATTCGTTATCTTATTAGGTTTTAAAATTATTTAATTCAGATAGCAGAAAAGCTTGCATCAGATAAATGATACTCTGCTATAAACTGAAAAAAGTACTCTGCTATAAACTGAAATAAAAAACTTTAAAATCAAGATAAGTATTTCACGTATTTCAAGAAAAAGTCATTACATAGAAAGTTAATTAGTAATTTAATAGAAATGCTGAAATATTTTACCGCTGATCCTACAAAATATTTTCTGAAACAACAATTTCTTTTTAAAACTTAGTCAAATTTGTACTTTTCTTTCATGTTTTGAAGTACCGTAAGATTGGGTGGCTTTGGCCCATTTTGCATCTTAATGTCTATTGCATGAAAGCCACAAAAATATTTCCTCAAACACTAAGTACATAGAAGTGCATAGAAAGGACTGTTAGAACTATCTGTCTCCCATTTGAAAATAATTTACCTGGAGTATCTTTTGGGTGGTTTAAATAATGGGCCAAAGTCGCCCTATGTGTTAGGGTGACTTTGGCCTAACCCTGTAAAAAGGAACTGAAGGAAGCAAAACAGCATTAAAAACAACAATATTTAGGCAAAGAAAATAAATTTATAAATATAAAGTTACAAAAAAAGATTTAGAAACAAAGTTCTTGTATACAGTAAATAAAATATAGGTACAAACTAAACAAGTATAGGTACCAAGTAAACAAAACAGTTTAGATATAAAGTAAACAAAAATGACAAAAATAATGTTAACTCTGAAATAGATCAATAAAATTGACTATTTCAGACTAGGGAAAAAAAAGTTGCTCTGCTGGTAGTGACCATTTCCAGTTAAGTTCATTTTTTTTCATAATAGTAATTTCTGATCCATTTTCTTAATTTTTTCAACTGCAGAAAAAAAATTTCGCAAGATTTTTTTAAATTTTTCAGTTTTTTCATTAAATAAAATTAGTTATTAAGTTAGTTAGTTATAAAGTTTGAAAGTGATCGGAGATGTCTAATTGATTAGCTAAATATAGATAACTCAAAATAAATAAACAAACCTGTCCAAGATTTAACTCTCTATT